CCTGGATGCATAGGAGGAATGGGAACGTTGATGTCTGGAAGCGGTTGCTGGTGTTGTTGTTCATGTTGCAGGTGTTGATGTTGCAGGTGTTGTTGTGTATTCCGACGGCAATTTTGACCCCTCGTTTAGGCAACGATTTTTCGCTCAATATTGCAGAGAATATAAATCCTACAAAAATGGAGATAGTTTCAATTTTCATATATGCTTAAGTTTGAATATTCTTAAGTTTCGAGTTAGTATACGCGGTTGAAACGCGCGCAGTCCGCGTCCGCCAGTCCGCGTCCGGTCCGCGCCCGTCTTTTATCCACACCCGTGAATGGGTGAAATATTGTTTTTCAGTAACACGAGAAGACAAAAGTCATATCTTCAAGCTACCGTGTAATGTTCTGTTTATTATATAGTCCCAAGCAAAAAAATTGTGAAGCAAATTGGAAAAAGTCACGTTATCGATATCTTTACTAGTTAAGAAATGGAAAATATCTCACTATAGTATCTAGACTGCGAACAATCCCTAATAAATAGAGGGATTGCCGCTTTAACTAATTGTCAAGCGTGTTTGATTAAGCTCCGCCTACTTGTTTATATTTCAAAACAGGGTCAAAAACATCTCTTGAAAGGCGCGATCTCGAATGACTCAATTCGCTTATATTAGTGTAAAACCATCAAACAACGTGTATTTAAATTCTCAAATTTCAGTTTGGCAAGTATGAATATTCATAATCAGAATTTGTCTGGCAGAAAAACGTATAAAGCAAGGCAAGGGGTCTTAGGGTTTATTGAAGGGTCTATTCTATAGACTGTGACTTTCTGCGACAATATTTTGATATATATTAATAGTTTACAGTAATAAAAAATTACCAACTTAATACAGCTATTCAGCTGAATTACATGCAGGTTAAGATTTACAAGGAGTGTTTGTAATTTACGTTAGTTAAAACGTGCGAATGTACCCGCTGCTGAGATGATTTGTTTTTATTGTACTTGCATCCGACCGAGATAGTAGAATATGCATCGCCCGTTTTTCATAACGGAATCCCAAATTACCAGAGTATTAAAGACATTGAACGGATACAGAAATCATTGAAGATCCAAATCACAAACTTCGCGGCACTATTGCCGGATTTGAACTCAATTTACTCAAATACTGTTCTGTCTGCACATTAATCCCTGAGGAGTTTCCAATAATTAAGACTAATAGATACATGAACACATTCATAATCGCAAGTTCTACATGTAAACGTTTTAATTCATAGTTCATAGTTTTAGCATTCGTATACGTACATTTGCATGTTTCCAATTTTCCGAAAGTTTAAATTTTAAGCTTGTAAACATAGAGGCATAGAGGTTTCGTTTAATATAAAAAATGCAATCTTTTAGATACATTGATACTGTCAACATGACTATTCCATTTAAGATCAAAACAATACATACAATATACAATACATACATACATATTTTAATACAAAGACATACAATATTATAATAAACCCAAACTCCATAAACTCACCAAGTCACCGTGTATTAATTAGCCTAACTGCCAATTCATCAACGACTATGAGGGCAGTTCGTTTCTGAATGGCGAGCTTTTATTCTTCAACAAGGCAACAAATTCAGGAGACAAAGGCTCAATTTAAGCTTCATCAGCAGACGCATACACAAATATCTGAAAATTGGTTTCCTTGATCCCACTATAAGAACGGCCGAGTTAATATTTGCAACAGAGGAGGTACGACAAGCAATTAGCGAGTTGTCACGTGAGCTCTCGACCAATGAGATCGCTCTATTTTCCATCGTGTTATCTGCAGAATTTGGACAGAAAAATTTGCATTCGCCGGAAAATAAATCGGAAAAAAATATTAATATTAAAATTTTCTTGCAAAATTTCAAGTGTAGTAGTACTACGGCTAAAGATCTGGTGATATCTGCAAAAATCTCTGAGGTAAATGTTATTTTCAATGTTATTTTGATGTTTGAAGTTAGTCGACTCCTCGCGACGTGTTGACTCAAGTCTAAATATGTTTACAATGTTTAAAATGAAATATCTAGAATTCCCATGGTTCGATTTTCTTCATTTTTGGTAGTCGCCAAGAAAAAAGTATAATCTTTAAATCTGCTGGAATGATCCCGGTGATCCCCCGGCAGTTTTCGAGATATTGACCGTTGAAGTGACTATTGTCAACTCGACGTTCGCTAAAATGGCGTCTAATACCTTGGAAAGAAAATGCGCCATCAAAGATGATATTTTCAATGAATTTTTGTTAAAGTGTTAAAATATTATTTAGAAGACTTAGGAGTTGTTCTAATATTTTTTTAGAATTTATATCTGTGCGATTTTCAAAGTTTTGTTGTTTTTGGCCGACGCGACTGGATCGTGTACGTATTTCAAGACGAGCTGATCGCCTGATACTGGGGTTTTTGTGGCAAAATCGAGCTGCGGAATCCTCAGCATGGACAAATCAGTGTCATAACAGCCCATTTCAAGCCAGCAGAGAGCTTCACTTATTTTAAAGCAATAAAATAAATTTTTATGTATCGTATATCAAATTATTAAAGTGGCATGTTATTGTGGGTTTCCCTGCTGGCAGTGGTTTCTGAGCTGAAGTGGGATCTCGGATCAATTTACAGTAATACTGAAATATTATATAAATAGACATCTTCTTGTTTTATTGTTGCATTAATTTTAATCTGAAAAAATACTCACAAAGTAGGTCAAGTGTATGAATAAATCTTCATTTATTTACTAAAGTACATTTTTTACATTTATTTATGTACTTAGTATTATATGCATGAGTGTACATGACAGATTGGTTTAATTAGATATACCCAGTCGAGGTACCCAGTTATCATTCATAACCTATGGTTTGTTTAAAAAATGCTGGAAAAAACTAAAAAAGTTAGCCAATTGAAATAAATGCACTAATAACTTGCTAAAGATAGCTTGGTAGTTGCTATTTATTATATAAAAGACATCTGTCAACATACACTCATGCTTTTTCCTACCACTCGAGTCTCCACTCACCAGGGGCCAGTTGTTCAAAGCTGGGTTAGTTTAACCCATGGTTAACCTAAAATTTGAAGCAAACTTCCTGACAGCTTTTCTATAAATTTGGAAATATTTCTTCAGAGATCTTGTCTGGATCAATAGGAGTATACTTCTCTGAAGTTTTGAAATACACAGATCTATGTGTAGAAGACTAGGAGTACACAAACTAAAACAGCAGGTTAAATTTTAACCCAGGGTTAGCACTAACCCACTTTTGAACAACCGGCCCCAGGTGTCTTTATGAAAATGTTTGGATAAAATCCTATTTTTAATTAAAAAAGTCAACCCTATACTTGATACACTGAACATAGACATCCACGACATCTCCTGCAGCAATAAGTGGGTGCAAATACTTGCATAGTTCAGAAGCAATTAACCAACATGTGTCCATACAGTTCCATAGTCTAGATCAAATAGGCAATTCCAGCTTTTAATTTATGCATGCAGGGGGTGACGGGAAGTAAGGTATCATATTGCTGATTATGCTGAAAAATTTTAATAAACTACCTAAACAACCAAAATATTTCAATATTTACAATAGCTATCTATCCATGTTTACATGGCCACCATTTCTATTTTTCAGCATTATCAGCAATATGATACCTTACTTCCCATCACCCCCTGCATGTATAACCTAAAAGCTGGAATTGACCATTGCACTTGGGTCCCTTGGATTCAATGGTGCTGGCCGTATTCTTACATTGAATTCACTGTTTTATCTTGTTTATGAAGAGCGAGGTATTATGCCTTAATTTTCCAAATGATGTCAGTAGTTTTTCTCATGAGCAGCACCGATGCACTTGAATGGTACAGAGTGGGCGATTTCTTCCTCCCCATCACTTTCGTCTTCATCACTTAACTTGTCATCACTTTTTGCCCTATCACCTTGATAACCTCTTTCATTATCATATACATCTTGAACAGGTTCAAGACCAGCTAACCACTCAAGTAAATCTCTTTCTACAAAATCATAACAAGGAAATTATTATTTGATACATTGTCATCTCTAAAATTAGTAAAAATATACAAACAGCAATATTTAGATGAAAATTTAAAAAAAAAATATTAAATTACAGTTTGCACATTTAAACAACCACCCACAACTAGATACAAACATGCATCACACTCAGCAAAAATTTATAAAACCATACAAATAACTGAATAACAATATACCTTCAGACTCATCTGAGAACCAATGTTCATCATCTGAATGTTCATCATCAATTCTATTCGCTGTCAATATATGATCCACATCGAAATCCAAAATCAAAAGCATATGCTGGGTGTTTTCGTTAGCAAACTCATCAGGAGTAGGGTCAAACTAAAGGGTTAAATTATTAGAAATATTACGCCATAATTTGTACAGTGTATTTATAAAATTACAGTACAATATTGAAAGCAGCAAAGCGGAAATTTGACCAAATAACAAGTCAACTGTATTAAATGCATTGTAATATACTAACCTTAAATACTGCGCTTGTTTTCACGTTGATGATACACAGATATTTAACGCCATCCAACTTAGAAAGAAGGGCCTCGCTATTGGGAATATAAACACAATTCCTTCGCCTTGACAGACGGATTATTTATAAAGCAAAAATGACAGCATGTCCCATGCAATTTAACATAAGGTAAACTTGGTATAGTAAAACACAAGTCATAATGAGGATCGTGTAACGTGTTAGTTTATTACGATATAGTTTCTGATTAACAAGAAATCGAGAGAAATAGTCATTTGTTTACAATACATAAAACGCCTAGCTTGTGTTACTTTTTCGTACGCCTCGCTCGCCGCGCCTGTCAATCAAATTAATGTTTTCGTCATCGTGACGTCACCTAATAACATCGTGACATCTTTTCCCCTTTAACAAAATATGAAACTACTGTATAATATAGAATTGTATATATGCATAAAGTACTTGTACTTAACGTTTGAGTTGTTTAACGCTGAGAGCGTTCACTTCATGACATAGTCCTTGTGCCACACCGGTGTATATTTTGTACGCGCAGATCGGCGTGGTAGATTTCCAATGGTCTCAGAGGAGGTTTCACCGTCTAATAGTGGTACGTGTTCGAGATTGGGTTCATTCACAATCGAACTGTTCTCGGGTTCCCTACTGCTTTGCTCAGGTCCAATCTCAGGATCCATACCAGCTGGTGGTGTTGGAGGTCTTTCTTGCGATGCTCGGAGTTGTCGGCGGTTTCGTCGGTATTTCCTTCCACTCACCTCTACTTCGTACGATCTGTTATCCAAAACCCTGGTACACGTTCCAAGGGTCCATTTTGTTGCATTTGGTAATTTCATTCGTATAGCTTGACCTTTTTTTAATGGCTTAAGAGAATGGTGCGTCTTGTTATAATGGCAAATTTGTCGTGATTTCCGAGCAGCCAGTTTATCTCTAGTGCCTTCGTTGATTGGTTGTTTAAGGAGATTTTTGTGAGTCGGTAACAGTGTTCGCGTACGTCGCCCCATCAACCTTTGGGCAGGTGATGATCCCAGACCTTCTGTGGGGGTGTTTCTCCAGTCTAAAAATGCTAACAATGGGTCTTGGCCAGCAGCTTTGGCTTTTGTCATCAGCATTTTGCAAGTCTTGACCGCATTCTCTGCTCTGCCATTAGATTGTGGGTAACGAGGGCTTGAAGTTAGATGCTTAAACTGCCAATCTCTTGCAAATGCTGAAAATTCTGTGGCAGAAAACTGAGGTCCGTTGTCTGTTATCACTGTATCTGGGATTCCATGTCGTGCAAACTGGACTTTGCAGGCTACTATGACTTTATCAGCGGTAGTTCTCGTAAGTTCTTGGACCTCGAAGAATCCACTCCAGTGGTCTACGAGCAGAATAAAGTGTTGTTTTCCAAGCTCAAAAAGGTCCATACTGACCGTTTCCCAGGGACGGAATGGTATTGGGTATGGTTTTAATTCTTCACGACATTGTGCCGGTTGATACGCCTGGCATGTTGGGCATTTAGAAATCAAATCTTTAACCGTTCATGAGTGGCCAATATAATACCTCACGGGCTCTCCGAAGACATCCTTCTATGCCAATATGAGATCGGTGAATCTGCGTCAGCATTTCTTTTCTCATTGATTTTGGGACTACTAAACGTTCTCCAGCGAAAACTAGTCCATTATCAACTACTAGTTGACTTCTTTTGTCGTAGAACGGTGCCAAGTCCTGGCTGCACTGTCTCTTGGATGTAGGCCAGCCATTCTTTACCGCGACGATGATACTCTGCATGGTTTTATCTGACGGTGTCGCTTAAACTGGTCGAGTCTGTCTGGAGAAATAGACAGATTCTCTGCATGGTCGATCTCTTCCAGGGCTCGTACCTCAGTCGTGTCATGACACCAAGATTCTGTTGTGTTCCGATATGCACGACTCAGGGTGTCCGATATCCACATGAGTTTGCCTTTCTTGTACTGCACGTTGAGATTGTAATTTTGGAGGGCCAGCAGCATTCTCTGCAACCGTTTAGGCGAGCTATGTATAGGTTTGATGAAAACTGCCTTAAGCGGTTCATGATCGGATTCTATGGTAACGGTTTCTCGGCCGAGGATATACTGATCGAATTTGCTTGTTGCCCAGACAATCGCTAGTAATTCTTTTTCAATCTGGGCGTAACGAGTTTCTGTATCTGTAAGTGCCCTCGAAGCAAAAACAACGGGTTGTCCGTCTTGCGTTAAGACAGCACCTAGGCCAGTGTCACTAGCATCACATTCAATAGTAACTTCCTTGCTGACATCGTAGTATCTCAGGACCGGCGCTTTGGCTAGAGACTTCTTGACAGTGTCATAGGCTTGCTGGTGTTGTTC